TTATAGTAGGAAGTCAGTGCTTTTGCGGAAATTCAAGCGGCCAGTGTAGACAGTTGGCAAGTTTTTCTGGAAAAGCGGCTGATTTTCCGGAAAAACTGGCTGGTCTAGCACTCGGCACTCAACACCAATCAATGGCAGTACCCCGCATGTCACAGAGATTAGCCACAGCCAGGAAAGGATTATGGGAACCATGCCATCCTTCCAGGGGCTCAGCACCCTGGCATAAGGGGCACCCCTGCAGGCAGTAACAGCAGCTGCACCAGGCCCCACAACTCTGGTACCTGCCGTTTCTGCCTGGGTTCTTCCACTGACACCTTTGGCCAAGGCACAACATAGACAAGAGTAGAGTCCTGCACTTAGGATGGAAGAATCCCGAGCATTGTTACAGGCTTTCTTCCACTGACACCTTTGGCCAAGGCACAACATAGACAAGAGTAGAGTCCTGCACTTAGGATGGAAGAATCCCGAGCATTGTTACAGGCTGGGGACCAGATGTCTAAGTATCAGTTGTCTAAGTATCAGTTCTGCAGAAACAGACCTGGGGATTACAGCAGATGAGAAGCTGTCTATGAGTCAACAGAATGCCCTTGTAGCCAAGAAGGCTAATAGCATATTAGGATGCATTAGGAGGAGCATTACCAGAAGATCTAGAGAAGGGATTATTCCCCTTTATTTGGCTCTGGTGAGGCCACACCAGGGCTATGTCTACACTGCATGCTTCTTGCGCAAGAACGGTTTTGCGCAAGAGAGTGTCCACACTGGTGGGACGCTCTTGTGCAAAAACTTCAGCCCGGAACTACTTTGCAGAGGGCAAAAGGGCACCAGGACTTTCCGAGGGCGGGGGCTGGAGCTCCTTTGAGATGCATGCTTAAAGGGATCTCCCTGGACAGTCGTTTCTCTCCTGCTGCGTGCTTTGGGACCTCCTATAGGGACTGACAGCCGTAGCAGTTCTAATTGTGGTTGCCCTCAGCCTCTTTGGATACCACAGCTTCTGCCCTGGTGCCTTTGGCACTCTCACTGCTGTGCCATGGAGCCAGGGGTGGCCCTGTGCCTGCTCTGGCCCCACATGACCATTTTGGAGTGTCTGCAGCTGCTGCTCTATGCTGCTACACTACTCCTGCAGGTGCATGGGCCCAAATCTTGGGCTATGGCTAGAGAACTTACAGGGAGAAGGTCTGAACTATATATATGAAGTAGATGAGCCAAACATTGGTTGCCCTAAGAATAATTTTGGGGGCTACGTCTACACTGCACACTTCTTGCACAAGAATTGTTTTGCGCAAGAGAGCATCCACACTGGTCACAGAGCATCGTAAAAGCCATGCACTTTTGCACAAGAGAGTGTCCACACTGGCGGAACGCTCTTGCACATAAACTTCAGCCCGGAACTACTTTGCAGAGGGCAAAAGGGCACCAGGACTTTCCGAGGGCGGGGGCTGGAGCTCCTTTGAGATGCATGCTTAAAGGGATCTCCCTGGACAGTCGTTTCTCTCCTGCTGCGTGCTTTGGGACCTCCTGTATGGTCTGACAGCCGTAGCAGTTCTAGGTGTGGTTGCCCTCAGCCTCTTTGGACACCACAGCTTCTGCCCTAGGTGCCTTTGGCACTCTCACTGCTGTGCCATGGAGCCAGGGGTGGCCCTGTGCCTGCTCTGGCCCCACATGACCATTTTGGAGTGTCTGCAGCTGCTGCTCTATGCTGCTACACTACTCCTGCAGGTGCTCGAGACCAAGTTCGCTCTGGACTCCTTCTCTATAGATGCGGTGGCGTCCCTGTGGCACCCCCACCCGACTGTGGAGAGGCGTTATTGGAGATTGGACACCAGTACCAATTGGTGGGACTGGCTGGTCCTGGAGCAGTGGGACGACCAGCAGTGGCTTCAGAACTTCAGAATGCAAAAGCAGATGTTCCTGGAGCTGTGTGCCTGGCTTGCCCTTGCGCTCCAGAGACATACCACGCAGCTGCGGCCCACCATCCCGGTCAACAAGAGGGTCACCATCACCCTCTGGAAGCTGGCCACCCCGGACAGCTACAGCTCGGTGGGACACCAGGTTGGGGTGGGCAGGTCCACCATCGATGCTGTTGTGATGCAGGTAAGTCCTGGGGCAGTGCTGCACTCCCTGCCTGGGGGAAGGGAACACTGCAGGCTGGTGTCCACAGAAACCGAGGGTCTTTCCACAGCAATCTCCCCCAGGATGGCATTGAAGTGGTCATAGTGGGGGCAGGTGTCAGCTCCTGCCCCCTGGCCCTCGGTGGCCTGGACATAGCCAAGGCGCAGCTCCTTCACCTTAGCCCAGACCTGTTCAAGGGTCTGGGCTGGATGTCTCTTCTGGGAAAGCACCTGGGCCATGCGGCTAAAAATGTCTGCATTCCAGCGACGAGCACGGAGGTTGTGGAGGGCTTCCTCCTCGGCCCACAGGTTGAGAAGGGCCTCGACCTCTGCCTGGGACCAGCAAGGGGCCCCTCCGGGCCTGCTGGGCGCCGTGAGGTGGCTGTTGGGAGGAGGGCACAGGCTCTTGGTGTCCCCCTGGAGCAGACATCTCTCGGAGGAGCAGCAGGGCAGAGCCACGAGGAGGAGCTGCTGGCTGTGCTGCAGCTGCCACGCAGACTGAGGCTGCATGTGTCTTTAAGGGAGGGTCCGGCAACCAGGAAGTAAGGAACTAAGTGCAGGTACAGAGTATCCAAGCGGCCACTTGGCTTTTTTCCTGG